AATAAAATCGCCGCGTCGGTAACCGCCCCCCGTGGCCTCGCGATTCGCATACGCGAAACCGTCGTGTCTTATCGACGCGGTACATTTCCCCCCCGTTCGCTTTGCGCGCGCGAATCCGAAGTTTGATAACGACCGCCGGTAGAGTACGTTTTCCTCGAGTCGGACGACAGCTCGCGACCGGAATCGTTGTCGTTCGACTGTCGACAATTCGACGTTACACCGGTTTTGAGCGTGAAATTCGTTTTCCTTCGATCGTCCGACGGCCGACGTCCCGCGCAATACGCAGTAACAGTTTTACCGTCTCCGACGTTTCACCTCGTCCACCGAAATCGTGCACGTACAACGTACGACCGTTTCAATAAACCCTTGAGCGTGTACGATCGCCGTACGACTCCTCGCGTTTGATGCCGGCGCGCCGTGGAACACGCGCGGTTCCGTCGCGCGAACCGTTCACCGTCCGTTCGGTGTTTACACCGGTCCCGTTCGGGCGTGCCGATCGTACGTTTTCATCTCGACGTACGTACACGGACGCTACGGATGAACCCTAGACCTCCGGCGCGATGTTATCGTGAAGACGGCACGCGAACCAGCCCGCGTGGCAATAAAACGGTTGATTAATGTGCGCGCGATTAGATTGCCCGACTATTCCGGTCGGCCGCGGCGTATTGTTATAGATCCTGATCGGGGTACGATGTGCAACATAATCGCTGATCGACTAGAACGCGCGCCTGGGGACGGCTGGGAATAGGACGTGGTCGAGGTTTTGACGCGTTATCGTAACACAATTACAGCGGTACCGTTCACCCGTTCAACCCGTTCGGAGTTCCATGTAGATCGGTATCTCGTCAATTGTAACGGCAACTCAAACGGCAAATGTTACGAAACAGTTTATGATGCACAGCGCTACCGCGAACGAGTCGGCTGGCTTGAGCATTATGTTTGACTCACACCAGTCGAACACGAGGACTTCAACGATTTTGTATAACTCTTAGCATTTTTTTTTTTTTTTTTGCTTCGAGAACCGAATTTAACCATCACTGAATTCGTTTTAACTCTCATTTTATTACATATTTGAATCGAAGAGAAAAAACGCACAGAGAAATATATGAGTATTAAATTTAACTCTCAAAGCGTCTGGAACAATTTCACTCCGAATGGCTAGCCAGTCAACTCGATAAATAACAAATAATTATTATTGATCGCACGATACGACTGTAGGTCGTCGTGTTTCCCTTAGCAGTGTTTTCTATATATTAATATCGCGCGACATAAATTATTATTATTATTGGTTTTTTTTTTTTTTTTTTATAATAAATATGCGGTTCGTTTCGATCGGTCTATGTACAGATCGATGTTCGAACGACAAAAGAGAAAAGGAAAATACGGTCGGGGAGGAAAGAAAATACATTTTATTCAGAATACGTAAAAAAATCGTGTGGCGAAAATAAGTGGGAACCAAAGAAAAAAAACACACTGAAACATAATAACAAAGTTGAAAGGGGGGGGGACTAAGTGTTGTTACACTGGCAACCTCTGTCGTCGTCGCCGTCACCGAAGGTCGTCAACGTCGTCCCCGGCGTTGTGACTGCCGACGTCGTCGTCGTTGTCGCGGTCGGTGTCGTCGCGGTCGGTGTCGTGACGGTCGGTGTCGCGCGACTTGTCGTTCTCGTTGTCCTCGCACCGGTCTGCGCGGTGTTCCGCGTCCAAGCCGGTGTCTCCGTCGTCGCCACGGACGCGGTGTTCGTCGAACAGTTCGACGGCGGTAAAACGGACACGGGCTGCACGAGCGTGTACGCGCCTAGCGACCCGGTACCGTTGCGCACGTAGTCGGCGAAGTTGTTGCGCAACACGTACACGATCCCGTCGTAACCGGGCGCCACGTGCACGGGGGCCCGGCAGTCCGCGCCCTTGGACACCAGCCGGAAGCCGACCAGGTGGAACGGGCAGTTGACGTCCCACGTCCATATCTCGTTCTCGGCGGGCCGCCGGAAGAACATCCGGCTCCCGGTGTCCGACCCGAGCACGGCGATCCGGAACGGCTTGCGGCCGACGACCGTGACGGCCGGCCGGACGGTCGCGTACTGGTCCACGTGCTCCAGGTCCACGGCGAACATCCGGCAACCGGACAGGAACGTGGCGTACAGCCCGGCGCGGCCGTTGCTCTTGCGCAGTATCACCATGAACATCACGTCCCGGGACGCGCCCGACCCGACCGCCCGTTCCGGGAAGTCGATGGACCCGCGGGCGCCCGTGCCCGTGTTCAGCACCAGCACCGAGCTGTGGCCCGCGTCCGCCACGAACGCGTAGTGGCCGCCGGCGGCGTGCCGCGAGTGGAACGTCAGGATGTACTGCAGACACGACTTGGCCGCCGCCGACTCTCCGCGGCCGTTCGTCGCGTCCGTTTCGATCTCGAACGTCTGGTACGGGGTCTGCCGACAGCGCGTTTCACTACGATTACGACGGGTTGATCGTGCAACGATCGCGTTGGTTTGCACAACTCGTCCGTTGTTTTATTTTTTTATTTATTTTTTTTTTTTTACCTCTGCGTGCGCGCACCACCCAGCACCGCTCGAGAATCAGTGAACGATGTTTCGTAATTGAAAAAAATAAAACAAAATTTGCTAAACGTTCGCGCAAAAGCCTCTTGAGCTAATAGAACGGCTACGATTGACTACGGAATCGTAAATAACTAAAGGTAACCGAGGAGAAGAAACGGTATTCGAGGGAAACGTTTTCGTCGAGACTGATATACCTCGATGTCGAATAAAACATTTCGTCTAGTAGGGCCCAAAAGTATTGTAGGCACCCCCAGGTCTGCGCACGCATACGGTTACTCGAACATTGTACGAGCCTCTTCCCGCTTAACGGATGCTTTTCCCTTAATGACGGTCGTGATAACCTTTAGATCGTCGTCGTCGTCGTCGTCGTCGCCGTCGTCGTTGATCTCGAGTCGGACGATCTTGGCCGCGGCCACGCGTCTCGGCGTGTCCGTCATCGTGTTCACCACGCCCGCGTCCAACAGCCACAGAACGTCTTTGGTGCTGTCCAGGCACAGGTCGACGACGTTGACGAGCGACCGGACGCAGCCCGCGCCACCGACGGACGCCCGGTGCGAGTGTCGGGCCCGCGGCAACGGCAGCACCTCCGGCTCGACGACGTGCCGGGTGGCCGTGGCCGCGCGGAACCAGCCCAACGTGAACGGGACGCCGGGACGGAAACGCGGGGACGCGAGCAGCACGCGGCCGTTGCGCGTCATCTGGAACCGGGTGTGGATGACGGCTCGCGGGTCGTACGGGCACGGCCACGCCGCGCTCGAGCCCAGCACGTGGTGATCGTAACGCCTGTCCGCGCGCACCGCCGTCATCGCGGCCCAAAGCAGCAACAGCTTGACGCGGCCACCGATACCGCGCGCGGTCATTTACGGCTGCGCGTGACGTCGCGTTACAGATCCGGGAACGTTCACGTGTTCGCGGTTATTCCGGTAACTGGAAACATCGAAAACGTCTCGTAGTAGTTCGGCGAGACGAGTAGGCGTTGTTTACGATTAATTATGTCGAAAAAACAATCGGCAGCGAACGCGCGATTAAATAACCCGTGATCGTGTGTGGACGACGAGGAGACGATGCACGTGGGCACTAGAAGCTGAAAAACCAAGAACTTTGATAGTGGCAGGGTGGACGAGTAAAATGTTTTCATCGTCCGAAAAGACCGGCCTCCCCCATCGTCGTGTATAAAACTGTCCCGCGCGGGTCGTGTAGAGCGTATCTCGTTCGCATACGATATATTCAGGTTCGGTACGTTTGGGAAAAAGATTAGAAGAAAAATAAGCGACACGTAAAACTCGATTCCCGTGAAAAAGTGTGCGCAGGAGAACGCGCAACCTAAACGGGTACGCGAATCGTTGTTACGGGTGTAAGAGTAAAAGTTTTCTGCTTCCCGTACACCGCCACGAAAGGATTATCCGTTGACGGAGCACAGGGACGGATAACCTTCGCTACCCTTATGAATATAAATGGTTTATAGTCCAAGAACTGCCGCGCCACCGTTGGGCTTTCCGCGTGTACCTGCGTGCGACGGTAAGACAACGGAAAGAAACTTTATTCACGTGTGCATACGCAGTGTGCAGAAAGGACAGCGATCGCGTGCGAGCAGCGGACAAAGCGATGAATAAATATCAACAAATGTCTGAACAACTTACTAGTCAGTGAAAATGCATTCTATCGATGGCTGAGTTTACGACGATAGTCGGTAGCTGGTGGAAAAGCCACGAAAATTCAAGAGAAATGTGCGTCAAACCGATAAAATCGGCACTGTTAAAACACAAATAGACAACTATGTATGAATTTTCAAGTCGGTTTAACTTTTATAGAATGAGCACTATATTCTTAATAAAAATGTACGTGAAAAGATCCACCACAATGGGAGGGTTAGAACCCTCAAAACCTCCCCCTTGCTCACTGGTCTGTTCGGGAGTAATGTGGAACGTTCCTAGGTTTGTTCGCGTTACATGAACAGTGGAACTGAGAACGTGCGGAGAAGACTCAGCAATCACATATTGTATATTATGTATAAAAAGTTTTCGTGACACTCCACGACCCGTATAACGGATATTCTGTGGATATATTATAGAGTTTCGCGAATTCGAAATCCGTAAGACGGACGCTGCGACCACTAAATGTGATTTAAAAGTTGTAAGTTCTTGGGTACAGATGTATTGAATGGACACGACGGTGGTTGTTTTATTATTTTAATGGACGACGGAGATTGTTTTAATGTTGCACTCCGAATTCTTCCGACTACGACAACGAAGTAATAATTAATTACCGATCCGACGAGATCCGTCGACACGGAACTTTCGACACGGTTTTGATGTTGAGATGAAAGTAGGGAAAAAACCTCGTTATGGAAACGCTTGCACGCGCCCTTCGAAATGTAAAATACAACGTTCACTCGGAAGTATTATAATAATTATTTCCGTAGAGCAGGACACCTCGATACCTCGGGAGACAGTTGACGCGAGACGGCGAGACGCAACATTTTCAATTTTTCGTACCACGCACTAGATTTTAAATAAATATCCGTAGCTTGGAATGTATATTGCGTTTAAATACGAGCTTAAACCATCTAGAAAATTATTCAAGTATACCGTGGAAACAATTTAACCTGATTATAGGGACTTTTTTCTGCGAGTAACAGTTTTAGTAGTTCCGATGAACAAGATTTTCGCCTTTAATTGCTTTAGTACACGCTTTACTTTTTGTACTGCTCCAAGCGCAGTGTGTCGTATTTAATTCCTGATCTAGAAATATGATTGTCTGAGCAGTGGTTAAAGCGGGAAAAATATTGTGGGGGGACTGTATGCATCGAAAATTGAGGAGCGTTCCATTATCTAATTCTAAATCTTACCCACCTTTTTTAGGAAACCCATGAGGTCTAAGCCTCTGTTGTTACACATATATGTATATATGAAATTTATTTTCATAGGGTGTAAAAACAAATTTCCCCCAAAGAAAAATAAATCTATACATACGCCTGCTCAGTAAAAAAAAATTGAAATACATTATTACTGTAAAATATAAATACTTTATGTATTATAACTACGTATTATTTCTTTTTTCCACTAATTCAAATTAATCAAAAAAATAAATTTCATATAATATTATAATATTATAATAAGTATTGTATTTTAGCGACCAATGCCATTAAGCGTCCACCCGAACTTTTGGCAACTTAAATTAAAGGGATACATAATCTTACGTTAAATAAGAAGAGGGAATCCGTCCCCCCACTTTAACCACTGTGTCCGAGGCTAATAAAAATGCAATACCCTTACGTATGTAGAAGTACGAGGTATGTTCATCACTTTTTTCACTTTTTTTTTTACCTTAAGAGCGCCCTTCCCCCTTTAGTTTGGCACTGGTTGTATTACGCAAAATCTTTAGCTCTGTTATACGAATTAAGCTGGTACCGAATTGGTTCCCATTGCAAAAATGGTATACTATAAAATTGTGCTTAATTGATTTCCGTTTAAATTTGTATTGCACCCATTACCAGTTGTATTGTTATTTAAGTTATATTACGAAGTATACATTTTCTTTCAAATTTTTACAGACTTAAGACTCTCAACTCTGAAATAAAGTTGGTATCGTTAAGAATAAGTTATCATTTGTATAAAATAATAATAAAAACCTATGATATAAAATATAAATTTTTAAACGGAATTTAACATTTAAAATTCTTAATATGATAATTCGAAGCAAACTCTCTTTGAATATTGTAATCGTGTAAGTGACCTGTAGTCCGTCATAAAGATTTCCAAGTTTTTTTTTTTGTTTGTTGCTTTCCTTTTCATACTACTACGAAACTTAATGTAATTTCATGTTTGAACACTGTTCAAAGTCTGCATAGAGTAAAATATTTTAGGGACCATTTGTAAATCATTTATTTAGTTTTTAATGAAACTGTTCTCGACAATTTGTCATTATATTAATATTTGTTATCAAAATCTTGCGTACTTAACTGTTAACGATCACAAGTCCATAGAAACACGTACGCACTTGGCCACCTGAATGTGAAGTGTAAGTACCGACACAACTAAGTGTAATGGGTTCCAAGATAAATTTAGACGGTAATGAATTCAGAACATCTTTATAAAATATCTTTTTTAAACGGGAACCAATCCGACGGAAATTGGAAACATCGTTGCCGTTATCGAAAGTGCTCGGGCGGTACTCGCAATGTATTTGCTTCCTAACCTACCGCATGATTGAAACACAAACGTTAATTTATTGCTACATTTCGTGCGAAACCAACGGAACCGGATTCCGAATTTTTCTCTCGGTTTTTGCGTAATTGATCGCTTTCTGCGATTGTATGATAACAATAACGATTTGTAAACACGCGCGTTGTCGGCGCTCGCTCAATACCGCGATAAACATTACACTCGAACGCGTCTTAACAGCAGGGCCGGCGAGAACTTTTGATAGGGCGCCGAGGCCGATCGGTTCCATGTCCTCTTTACTTGCGCTTGTACGGCCAAGATATACTACTTGTACGTACTTTAGTGCACTACAAATACTGTACAAAAGGCTCTCGGACGTACGGGCCCCGGGGCTCTTAGCTTCCCCTGCCCCACCCTCTCGCCGGTCCTGTTTAACAGCACTGGAAAACGTAATAAAAAACGGCAGGACGATCGTCTTAACCCTCGGTGCGTCCATCCTGGACCCCATAGTTATTTGTTTTTTTTTTTAAATACGGCAAGTGCGGTTTGCACATCGCGACGGTAATTATAGTACCACATATTCTGTCACCGCCGTTACGCATATTATATTTGTTATCGTAAAATCGTTACGAGTTTCAAGCTCACCAAAACGATAATGCTCTGGGTGGAAAAACGTTAAAATTTCGATTGGTTTTTTCGAGACTATAATATTCGCGTTTGATTGATTTTTATTTCATTTGCACGATGTGTTCGAATTTTTTTTTCCCCCGAGTATATATTATAATTATATTTATATGTGAGTTTGTGTTTTTTTATTTTGCATATTCATTAGTGATTTTTTACTTAGGTTCGATATATTATGTAAGTAACGAAAAAATTTTTATCTGTTTTTTTATGCGTTTCAATAACATTTTTCCAACATTCGAAATCAAACTGAACGCAGCAATATCTAACACACGGTTTTTACTAATAATTATTGTAAAATGTGTTGCAAGTTTTCACATGAGAAAAAATGTAATAGAACTTATACGTGCACACGATAAATCAATTAATTGCATTCCTCGTGGAATTAACCTGATTATTTGACCATAGAAACAATGAATACGTTAAGGATAAAAAAATAACATATAGGCATGTCGTTAAAGTTTAAATAAATTAGAATTTAGTGATACGCCATAAACGTTGGTATAAATATTTATGTTTCTTATGTTAAATAGGTATTATTTGAATCAATTATATCAATTCTCATATTCTATGTAACTCGAACATGGAACGTCAAAAATAATGATAATTTATGTAAATGATAATGGTCGTTGCTAATTAAATTCGATTAAAATACTCACCATCATTATCGCTGCAATTCAGTGTTGACATTAATTAATAAGATTTAAGTGATTTTATTAAAAACCCGTGAGATATCAGTCATTTCCAATAAAACTACTCCGAGAGCTCCAAACACGGAATTCACCGATTTTTCATTTAATAATAGCCTATATGGTGTATTTCTAAACCGTGGACGCGTTCATTCAGAAAATACATTAATAAATTGATTTCGCTAAAATGTTAACCATATCACTAATGGAAGCACTGTTTTTCATTGTGATTTTATCTACGGACCTTGATGGTCGACGCTCAATACACATATCAATACAATCAATGTTTTAAACCTGTGAAAATACGTTATCGAAATGGTTAAAATTGCGTTTATGCTCTTATTTATCCAATACCGCTATCACAAGTTGTTCATTGTTTACGATTGAAATCGAAATTTGCGGTAATGAGTATAAAATGCATACATATAATATATTATTCATATACTACGTTTACGTACACGTTTTATTTATGGGTTGGGTAGGCTTTTAAAATGTGTAAAGTTCAATTAAATCCGTAAAAATTACTACTAACGTAGGTACTGTAGTGGGTTCATTAATATTATTTTGAAAAAACTATTCAACGAAAACACTGATCTTAGGTGTAATTAATTGTATTAATTACAATTATATAATATTGATTATATTTATAACAAATACTATTTAAATTATTTTTCGTATAATTTTATCAATGTTTTTCAGATAAAACTGATATCTCTGTACTATAATGAGAATTATGTTATTAATTTTTAACTCCTGCCAATTACCAGTTCTCACATTAAGAGATGACCTATGTATTCGATATTACTTTTTTTTTTGAATAATAATCATATTGGTTTACAAACAAATTATTAACCCTTCGTTTTAAAGTCCACCGATTAATAATTAGAGGTAAACGATCTTAATTGATCAACTAATGAGTTATAATCATAATTTACGCATTTAACTATTATACGAGTATATTTAAAATACAATTATTAATTTATATATGGAATACGTACTGCATATACTTATTAGGTGACTTTATCAAGCAGATAATTTATCGTTATTTGTTGTATTACTTTGGAAAACATTATTGAACACCTTTCATCTTTATGCTAGAGTATAACTGTACATTTCTTAAATAGTTGTAAAATTAGTTACTAAAAATAATAAACAAATGTTTCGTTGTCAGGGAAAGTTTTCATGGTATTATAGTCTTATGCGTGCGTGCATATTAAAACAACTTCGCACATGCAATAACATATTGTAATGGTTCGTATTTTTGCGAGCACTCTTCCAATAATTTATAGAGAAAAAGAAATGAACTGGGACAATGACGATGGCACCAGTAATTGTTTTCAGGGAAGCACCACTTCAAGGTGAATCCAGTTTTCGGTAGGGTCGAATTGAATACAAATTAAGGTACCATATGCTCTGGTTCGTGAGGCATTACCCAAGTATTTTACATACTTAAAGTGAATACTAAAAGTAATAAGTAGCTACAGAACTCGCAACATTTTTACAATCAACAGAAAATAGATTTGTTTATGTGTATTCAAGGTGTAGTATTTACTAATATTCCTGTATATTCAGTGGATATTCTCATTGGATATTTGAAAACAAAAGTACGAGTAGTATTTATCTAGATATTAAGTCTTCAAGTTTCTAACCATGAAAACTTGATGAACACGACCGGTGAAAATAATTATAGTAGTATAATTTTGGAATAAAATTAATATCGAGTGTCGAGATAAAATATTTTGGCTCATTTATTTTGTCTACTTATACCTATACGTATTTTTATTATTCTTTATTAGGGTTGCATGCAGTGCAGTTTTTAAAGCGAACAATGTGAATTCGATGATGTTACAATAGGGTTAGGGATAACAAAATGCCTGTTTTTACATTTATTTCAACCAATCCAAACATTATAAGCCGTTGGAATGTAAAAAAAAGGCTTTTAAACTTATGTCTTATATGTGTTATACTGTATACTTGTATTGATAACTTATATTACTCTTATCTATGTTTGATTAGTCAGAATATTATTAATATTATCACTCAAATGTTAGTAGTGTGTCATCTCAGTCATAATGTCAATGAACTGTAACTATTTAAAATAAACACGTTATTATTATTTCAATAAATAAATAACGACAAATAAAACAATATGTATCATTTCGTGCAAGAAAATTCAATACGTTTATTCATAATGTATTCAAAAGGTGCCGTCGTTGAAAATATTTGTAAAACACTGTTTGAAACGAAAATATATTTTGATAATATTTTCAATTATTTTCCAAACGCGTCCTTACACGTAGAACTAGGAGTGTGCATACGATTTGCATTGTTTTGCATACGTTCGGCAACTTATTTCAGTTGTCCCCTTCTGACCATAACTCTGCGCCCTCCTCTCGCTTTACCGACACGGGTCGCCCACGGACGGATCGTGGTTGAAACAATCATGTACATAATAATTTTTCAACAACAACATTGTTGGCCTTCGAAAGGTACATTCATTTTGAACGTGTACAAATGCACACTGTTATTTATTATAATTATTCGTAACATAAGCGAATTCAGTTTTTGTTTTTTTTTTTTTGTTACACAAAACCAACTGTTTTTATTGAATGTAAATGCCGGGGTGAAAAAAAAAACATTTATCACTCCGATCTTCAAATCCCCGTAGTAAACAACGGTGCAACGAGAAGGTTAACCGACGTACACTTACCTAACATCTCGAAACAGAAAGCAAACAAGGTTAGAAGAACAGGAGCAATCCAATCGGTTTCCGCTACCGCAGCGGCGACTGCGCAAAACGTGATTTATCGATGATTAGCAATCGTGTACGCACGCGCCACGTGCTCGTCTACACGCCCAACACATTCAATTGCGAAACGCGCTCGGCCGCGATACCGTATGGACACAAATCTTTAGATGTCGGACGCTTGAAAATCGTAAATCGTGTACACCACGTATTAGTGTTGTTGTTATCATCATGTTATTCGTCATTACCAGGCACGTTATACACGGGGGCGGGTTTTATCACTCACCAAGGGAGGGGCCAATGGAGGTTCAAGAATTTAGTTAGTTGTTTTTTAAATCTATATAAAATTTTAGATTACGGTATGTGTTTTCGAGTCCCTCATAAGTAAGTCATTTTTTTCACAACAGTGACAAATTTTAAATAGTTAACAGGCCCGTTCGACTGATTGTGCGCGATACATTCAATTTGCAAGTTGCAGTTCTCCAAGTGTAGATCCGCCCTTGGGCACAATGCGTAATGATTTCGTGCTGCTTCCGGTATCCGTCGGCGCGCATGCGATATAATTGTTAAATAATACATAATTTATTAATTATAACTTTTTGATTTTTTTTTTTTTTTTCAGAATGTGTAACGAGTATTCGGAGAACGAACGGTGAACGGATTGTCGCTCGGACGACACGAATATTTGCGGTCGTCGTCGCGGTGCAGAGTGCCCGGTCATTGATGAACCGCGTTCGGACGACGACATGCGACCGGCCGACGGACACTGCTGATCAGATCGCGCTGTCGGACCGCTCGGAGGTCGGGCTGACCGTTGAATAACCCGGAGCAGCGCACCGCGCGCCACCGACTACGCACAGCGCGCCGCCATGGAACGCAACAGATTACCGGAACCGCGGTTGTAGCCGGGCGTCCGGAGACCGTCACTTGACCATCCGCACCGGCCGCGGCCCACGACCGCGGACGAGACGCCCACAGCGCCCGCATCAACCGTCCAACAGCGACACCGCCGACCCGTCACCCCCCGCGGATTTATGGAAACGGACGGCGATGGACGCGAACCGGCGGCGGCTGCGAGAGCGCCCGTGGACGGTGGCTGCGACGAGGAGTACGATGACTATCTGGCCGACCTGCTGGGCAAACTGTGCCGGGAACGGAACGCGGCCGAACAGCTGTTGCTGCCGTGCACCGCGAAACGGGTGTCGCTCCAGGTGGAGTCGGTGCCGTACGGCGGTGCCCGGTACGCGGACGCGGAAGGCGGCTGTGAAGACGACGACGACGGGGCGTCCACGGCCACGATCACGCGCAAACCCAAGATACCGGACGGCGGCTGGGGATGGATGGTGGTGTTCGCCTCGCTGATGATCTGCCTGATCTCGGACGGCATCAGTTTCTCGTTCGGGCTGCTGTACATCGAGTTCCTTAAGGAGTTCCAGGAGAGCAAGTCCAAGACCGCGTGGATCGGCAGCCTGTTCATGGCCGTGCCGTTGATCCTGGGTCCGGTGGGAAGCGCGCTGGTCGACAAGTTCGGCTGCCGCAAGATGACCATACTGGGCGGCGTCATATCCGGGCTGGGCTTCATCATCTCGTCGTTCGCCGACTCCATCGAAATGGTGTTTTTCACGTTCGGCTTCCTGTCCGGCCTGGGCCTGTGCCTGTGCTACGTGACGGCCGTCGTCAGCATCGCGTACTGGTTCGATAAGAAGCGCACGCTGGCCACCGGGCTGGGCGCCTGCGGCACCGGCATCGGCACGTTCCTGTACGCGCCCATGACCCAGTACTCGATCGAGGAGTACGGCTGGCGCGGCACCGTGCTCCTGTTGGCCGGCACGTTCTTCAACTTTTGCGTGTGCGGCGCCCTGATGCGCGACCCCGACTGGCTGATCGCCGAACAGAAGAAGCCGCCGGCCACCGCGGCCGCGGCCGTAGCTTCCAAGCCGTGGACCGACACCGAGGAGTCAATCGTGGACCATTGCCCGGTGGTGGCCGTCGAGAACGAGACGCACGCCGATCCTAAGGAATCCGAACTGGCCGTGTCCGAACCGGACGTGGCCATGCTGTACCCGGACGTCGGCCAGTACAGGCGCATGGTGAAAGAAGCGCAGGGCGCCGAGTACCGGTTGACCGGAGTCACCACAACCGTCCGCAGACCGAACGCCTCGACCCGGGAACCCAACACCAACCCCAATCACAACAACAACAGCAACAGCAATAACAACGGTTTCCGATCGGTCATCAACCTACCCACGTACGTCAAGCACAACGAGAAAGTAAGTGGTTTCGCGTGCGCGCACCATACTTTAAAACCATCACTTCACTATCTAGGGCTTTCGCCAAACGGCCATTGTTCTATTCCGATGAAACTTTGGCGGGGACATAAAAACCCGCTTTTGATACGCCCGCGATTTCCCCTGAAGTTTACGATGTCGTTTTCGCGCGACCGTAAAACGCCGTCAAAAATGTTGTCAATTAACCGGAAAACGCACTGCGAAATACATAAAATGCCATTAACGAAAACATCTCGTCGTAATAATAAACGAAATACGAGACAGTAAATAGTGTATATGTTGTCGTATAAACGTTCAAGAAGATATTTTCGACAGTAAGCTTGTAAATTGATAGAATTTAAAAGAGCTCTTAAGTATACTTTACGGATAAAATCCCGTCTTATTTTAAGTGGTCGCAACATTTAAATTAATATAAACAGATCGTCCGTTTGGGAGAGGGAGAACTCCGACGTTCGTCACCGTGCAATATGATGTGCGTGCGATCGTACACATCACGTTATATGATTCGCATTCGCCGAGCGCGTGACCGTTGATAACGACGAAAATAATAATATATTTTTTTTATTCTTAGAAGCGGTGGAAAACGAATTGTTTTCGATCGATAATTGTTGCTCTGCAACCGATTATTAACTACGTCGAACGGTTTGCGAACAATCGTATTTTCATGTCGTACACGTATGTGCGCCCATGCACACATAGTACACACAGTATTAAGCTTGTAGACATTTTTTTATGAATCAAAGCTTTATACGGTATACGTCTCAACGCGTATGTGTAAGTATTAATAACCGGAAGCAACGAGTTAGGATAATAATGATGTACTCTCAGAAGTTATCATTACGTCAAGTTAGAGGTCCTACAAATAATAAATCTTTTGTTAATCGTTTTTTTTTTTTTTTTTTTTTTTCATTAATATACATATGCGTGCGCAGATTTATTTGTGTGCATGTGTGTGTGTGTGTATGCGCACACAAGCACCTGATAGGTCGTGGATGAAAATTAAAATATAAACGCTGCTCGAGTGGGTGCAACAGAATGGTTACTCGCGAGAACGCTGACCGCGACGGCGCAGTGATTCGTAGCGAAACATACCGTACGCTTTTTAGACGTTCTGCGAAGTCCGCAACGAAATAGGTACATTACATAAATGTATACACCCCTGTTGCGACCGAATACCGTATCGACGAAACGTCCGTGTTAGAATATCGTCTCTGATCGGCCAACCTACGGAGTTACAATTGAGTATACCTACCGTAGATCTAACATGAAATTCACTACGTCACGCCGCCCTGTTGTTTTCGACCGACTGATGAAAGGGGGGGGGGGGGGGGTTACTGGTCGCGCAGTAGATTATTCTGTGGTAAAATTAAACGATACGTAAACAATAGTTGATGTTGCCGTACGCGCAGTGCCGCAAAAACCGGGTGTCCAGAGTGTGCCGCGTACACGGGCACCAAGGCTTACATACATTTGGGGCCCCCTAATCTCAGCCTGAAATAAACTATGCTTTACAAACACACAATTATTTAATAATATTATATTATTATTTTATAATAAAAAGAAACTTTTTTCAAAATTCAGGTAAGGATGTTATAATATTTTAGAGTAATACAATATTTTTTAACAATAATTTCATTGAGTATTTGAGTAGGCATACAACATACCTACTCAAACTACTTAAATAAATTTACTACACAAATATGCAGTGAAGTATAATATACAACAGCTGTAGGTATTTAATTTGAATATTATATAATTGAATAATATATATATATATATATCATACAATAACTGATGTGAAACGTGTTTTAAAACCTAAAAATATTGATACTTATAAATAAAACGTATAACAAAAATAAATCCTAGGAAGGGGCCTAATAAAATTACCGCGCACACGGGCGCCTCCTATTTTGTACTTGCGGCACTGCGTATGCGCAGCAAATGAAGTGCACGTTCGCGGTACAACGTGTCGTACGTTTTACGAATAAAAAAAATTAAAAATATTCAAAATACACGGTGCGGTGTGAATTGCAGACCTTCGTGAATCCTTGTAATATATACGGGTTCGGGAATCGCGTATATATTGTATAGCTTTTCTGGGCAACTGAAAGTAACTGAAGGGTCAATTTATAGAACTTTAAAATCTGGCGGGAGTAAAAAAAAAAAAAAAAAAAAAAAATGTTATTAAAATCGACAATTAATATTTATTTTATATAGTTTAATGTTACGACTGAACCAATACAATAGAATAAAAGTACCCAATACCTAAAGCTACGTTGGCTTTGCCCTAATGGATGTATGTAATAGATATTTAGTAATTTAACTGCAGTTCAATACTAGATAACAATATAATATCTATATTTTACGATCAACGTAAAGGCCCTCCCTCACTACGATGAAAAACGTCGGTTTTTATCGTTATCAATAAAAACGTCGTGTTTCATCGTCAATTGATTTTGTCCACGCATTAGTGTTAAAATCGTGTCGTAATTCATTTTTGATCTTTGCCGTTTTCCTTCGTGTTCTCGTAGTTGGTTTCGATAGAGTTTAAATAATTACGAATTATGTAACTTTTCAAGGTATATTTTTTATTTTTTCTACCGTCATGAATTCAACGCAACTTATAGCAGTGGCAGTGGCTAGTGCCATTTTAACAAAGGAAAACACTGAAAATTATTCGGTACGAACCAAAGAGTGATTGCCACAGAGAAACGATTTGAATGAACTCTTCAGTTCTTACCGAAAACCCACACACTACGATTCGAAACCATAACCGGCGTGACCGTCGCGTTCAAAATCAATCGGCAACAGCAATTAAAACTGTCGCGGTGCATCGTCGGTTTTCGACATAGGCGCAACTAAGGGGGCGCAATAGGGTTTTTAGCACCCCCGAGTTCAAATGTAGCACTCCTGTTTTTTCTTTCAGATCTATATAATCTATAGTAATTACAGTTAAATACCATTTTATTTTATTTTCAGCAATTCCAGCACCCCCAATATTTGGGCTCTAGTTGCGCCCATGGTTTTCAACCACCATACGCTTCGGTTTTGCACGACGAATTTGTTCGTGACAACGAAAACCAACGTTTTTCACAGCAGTCAATGAGAATGGGGGAGGGGTTTAATGGAATGATTTGTAAACGTAGCACGGGCCAAGCGTTGGAGACCGCTGTGGAAACGAATCGATCTCGTTCTTTGGAGCGCACAGACGAACGAGGGTCGTATTTTACCACTCGCTACTGTTAGCATTGCGGTGCGATCGCCGTCGGTCTTTTGCGTTATTTGGGGATAGACGGACGGACGAGATTTTATAAACGATACGCCGTTAAAAATGCACGAACCGTTGTCGTCGTTTACTTTAATAGCGATGATACCCGTCCGGTCACCGTGTACACCGTTTCGAACATCGCACCACCGTAATGACGTAGCTTGTAGGTTTACCGTGCGTACAATAACTGTCCCTGCTGAAACAAACAGAAATAATAAATAAAATAAACAATTATTCTACGAACAAAAGCGCAGGGACAACGCTTATTAGCCAGATTGTTGATATGAATTAGTAGAGATCTTATCGGTATGGAGTTCTATGATGTTACTATAACCGCTACTAGTCAGTGGTACGTTTATATGATATTTCAGTACGAACAACCGTAAAACCTGGTAAAAATTAATACATTTTATTGAACTGTTGTACCGCTATTCGATTTTCATGTCAATAAATTTGCGTATATCTACAGATATGTATTTCAAAATATATTCTTCTACGAGTTTTACGGTTTTGAACGGGAATTCAAAGAATTTTCGATAGACATATTCAAATTGTTAAATCGGAAAGTATCAAGTTTAATTTTTAAATAATTCGTTCGTGGGTTCGCTCTGTCATAGCAAAAAGCCATCTAGTTTATATATTACAGCGCACACGAGTGACGTGAAGTAGACATAAATTCCCATCGTTGTAAAAAGTCGCCTTTTTTTTTTTAAACTGAAACAACTTTAAGCGCATTTTTAAGAGAAGTATTAAAAAACCGTTTAGAACTATCTCGGGTAGGACGTTATGACGTGCTGTCAAATCCATATTTCGAGTACCTACCCACGCCACGACTGTCAACGCTTATCTGCTCGAGCTTTTTAAAATGCCGTTTCTGGACACCGGTGTCCGTACCTCAATATCAGCCGTTCTACGCTTCCCAAAACGATGCAGTGCATGGGTATTAATATTAATAATTCATTTAAGGCATCATGGTATTTGATATGTTCAGTTATATCGCTTAAATTACGTTTTGTCGCGTCAGCGATAAGGGAACGCGATAACTATACACCATAATACGTATTATTGCGTATCTATACGCATAACTATTGCGACTAAACTATTGAGTACAGCGCCAACTGTCCGCTTGTTGTATTTTTATAAATTCGGATGTATTAAATTTGATTGCTTAGCCCTAAAAATAATTAGTTTATCGAAATATAACTGCTGAGAGCATTTATTACGTTTCAAGTTGGATAGAAAACGAAATGCCACCACTAAACCAGTCGCGATGATCTGAGTTCGTGCATAATATTGTACATTTCGAACGCTTTTACTGGGTTATATTGGTGTGTTCTAGAACACAAGCTTGCTCGCAGTATGATTGAAACTGTTTTTTCTTACGTTAATTATTTGCGAGCGATTTAAGTACACCAATATTACAATATGTTTGGCATCGAATCCTAAAATTCGTTCAAATCGTTTTCATCAACTTGCACCGTGTGTGTGCTTCGAGCGTTTGATTCTAGCCATGATTTTAATTTAAAGACGGATTTTGTCCGGAGTCGCTCGGTTCATGGTAAGGTGAAAAAAAACACTGAAGTTGACAGCGTTTACTATTATAACAGTATCTATTGCCGTGCAAATTACTCGTTGGCGAACAACAGCCGACGTGACAACACGTTTTCGAGAAGCAAAAGAAGGTGTTTTTAAAAAAAAAACCGTATCAGGGATGAAGTACAAAATGTGTGTCAGTAAGCTTAATAAGCTAAGCAGTAATAAGCTTTAATATAACGGCCGTTTTTCGTGCGCACCAAACTTAATTGACACGATTCGCGGCAACATTGCGCTGAAATCGTTTAAAAAGCAATTGTTCGCTGTAAAACGAAAACTAAATAAACCCACGCGTAGTCGATGCTATACGATGTTTATATGTATTCAGCATTGAGCGATAATTGTATGTTGATAAAATGGTGTTTCTGACCGGTAAACGTTTTCTCGTATTCCAGGTGCCGTTCGAAGTGCTCGAGTCGCTGAGCTCGAACAAAGTTCTGTTCAACTTGATACTGGAAAACTATCCGAATCTGTTGCTATGCCGGAGCAGCAGCGTGAACCAGGTGAGCAACCCGTCGGCGGGCAAGGACAACTCGTCAGGGTGCAAGGGCGCGCATCACCGGTCCGACACACCGCCACTGGTCATGAAAATGAAACTGAAACAGTCGAAGAAGTCGGACTCGATGGGCTCGGGCGTCATTTCGCCACTGGAATCGCAAACGTGCACTTCGCCGCCCCAGACCTACACGGCCGACAACAGTCCCGAGAGGCAGCCCAAAGCCCATCACTCGATGCTGAAGAGGCAAATGAGCACCACGCAGAGCAGCTTTCTGAAGAGTTTACCATATCACAGGTTAGTCGCGCATCTTTCGTCAATCGCATTATTTTTTTGCACAATATTAAGTGTTAATCGACTGTACGTGAGCCGGCCCGGGCACTTAATCGTATTATTCTTTACAGCCTAGAGGTCTGTATTTGACGTAAGAAATATTTCCGTAGGGACAAACCTCATACTCCATGTGTAAATTTCGGCCGTGTAGAAAAAAATTAATTTTCCTCGTACAGAAATCGTATCGCACGGCGGTGTAAAATAAAAATTTGTGTACGCGGAATATTTAATGTGCATTGCATTATAAATTAAATGTCCAACAATGACAGTTGTTAGTGTTCATCATTTTGATTTAAACTGATACTCTCCAGTAACTGATCAGAAATAATTGAATAAAAAAACAATTAAATAGTTGTATAACTACTTCAAAATTTACCTTCTATAAAGAACAGAAAAATCATATTATAATATTATATTTTCGAATTAATTAGTATTTACCAACAAACTTTTAATGGTCACTTCGATCACCGAATGATCCTAAACTAACTAATAATACAATATTTTTCATAGTGCTTTTATTAATTTTTTTTTTAAAAAAAATGGTTGTATGTTTTGTTAAATAGTAATTGTTTGACTTTATTTTTATGTTTCTTTTAAAAATAACTAATTATCAAACTTGATAAACTGAATGTAAACCATTAAAAGTATTTATGCTTGTTTTCCAATAATTTTTTTTTTTTTTTCATTTAAACAGATTATGCGATGAAGCATTATAGCTCAACAATTACAATAAAAAAATTTATAAATATAGACAACAGTATGAAATACAAACATTTAAAATTATGTAACAATGAATGATAAATTATAACGAGATTCACAATTAAAATAATTTAAATGTGTTATCAGTGGGTATATACGCGAAATCAATAAATAACGAAATAATATAATATAAAATATACATAACAAATTTAATAATTAATGACTATAGTATAACAATGCAACCACGTATGATAGTTGAAGTAATTTTTATGAAGTAGGAATAATATCGAAAGAGAATGTTTTTTAAGTATAGATGTTTGAAAAAGTATTAGAGGATTTAATTTTAATTTAAGATCGCCAAAGAACTTAGTTACATAAAATTAATTAATTGTTTGGATGATGAATAATTGGCTTCAACTCTGGCATAAAACACTTTTGGTTTTGAATCACAGTCGGAAGCGATGTTTTGAGAAATGAGTGATACAGTAAGTGTTGAGGTGATTGGTTTTTATTATTATTGCTCGATTTATATTTACACCGATTTGACATAATAGTTTTATAAGATGAACATCGTTTACAAGATGCTGTACGTTGCCCTGAGCATAATGCGCACTTAATAGGATTTTATGGTGATTTCGTGCAATCGCTATAACAGTGTCCTTCATCACACTTCTCACAGCGTGCGTTATAATGACAGCATTATTTATAATTAATGTTCATCTTTGGAAAAATAAAAGGAAAATGTTGAAGGACAATTTTCTTATATCTATTGGTTTCCTGATCTTGCGTAGAAAGAATTACAAAAAAATACCCACTCAAAACACATTTATGAACACTAAAACGGTCATTTTAGGACGTAATGCGTAAAATATGAAACATTGGTACGTATACCATCATATTGTGTTATTCATTTGTATTTGCGTATTATGTCGTATCAGTGACGGTACACAGACGGCACGAGATTAAAATGTATCAAATCCTGCAGCTACGCGCGTTCGGAGTCGTTTTCTTTTGCTCCTTTTACATTAAAATATTGTGTTTCGTTGCGCTATACATGTGTATACGTTTAATATATTTTATGTATAGGTGGCTCGACGTAATATGAATACCGTTCTCCATATCGTTTTAAATTCCAAACGAAGTGAAGAATGTATTTATCTTCATCGAGTTCGCCACCGCTCACAATGAACGTTTTACATTACTTCGGAATACTTCGTATGCAATTTTATCACCGTGCTATTTTTCATTTGCTCTGCTATGCACTCGATATACTCCGAATACGGTATGATGTGTACTGGCATGTTAAATACAAATTATATTTTGAGTCTGCAAATATTTTTTCGAGAATATTTCACTTACGTTAATCTCAACGGTTGTTGTCCCATTAACAAATCCGTTTTTTTCGACTTACAACGCTCGTCATGGTGTTATCAATTACATTGCGTTTATCAATACGTATATGAAATTCAATTTATCAAACAAAGCGTTCAAATTCATCTCATGTTTAATGTCATTATTAATTATATTGCGGGGCCCATTATTCGGTTGAAATAAAAATAAATATAATAAAATACATATACTATATAAGTATTAGTATTTTAAAGTCTGAAACGTGTTGTGGATATTGTTATAATTGCATGAAAAATATATTTTAAAAATAAATTGTTTTCGTTTTATTTCTATGCAAGCCTTTAAAATACATAGTTAAATAGCGTAGTAAAAAATTAGATAACTTCTTACAGAGAACTAGAAAATTAATTTACGAAACGATAATTGTAATAGTAAATAATATTACATAGACTGTTGAAACACTGAAAAAATTATAATTCATAACTTTGCAATGAATAATTTAAAGAGTTATGTAAACAATTTTTTATTTAATGTGGTTCTTTAAAATAGTCTGTTGCATAATATACTCCTTGTATAATAATTATTTTATCAAATTATTTTCAGGGAACTCGATAAAATATTCTATACACTTCCATCATAAAATTATATTTTACTGCAATGATAATACTATTACACCAGTATTTCAATTAGTATTTAATTAGTTTTTATATATATAAAAATGCATGATCCTATAGGTTATGTTTATTCATCAAAAGTATTAGTTTAAAAAAAAAAAAAAATTACAAATAATTTTAAAGTAGTTTTCCTTCAATATGTTTAATATGACTAAAATAGTAAGGTTTTATGTAGAATTAACATTTTTACTTATCTATAATCATTAGTTTTTAGTCAATGAACCATTTAGCATTTATAAATATGAATTTAGTTTAAAGATCATTCATAAATTATGTACCGTAAATTTTGGCAAAATCCCATGCACGTTGTGTAATTTATGAATGCCCATGGATGTAGAATACATAAACCTTTTTGTGCAGAAAATAATAATCACCGTGGTTCCTAATTTATCATCATTTTACGAGGTCCAATAAGGTTGAGAGTAGTGGAAATTGATAAAAAAATAAATTGTTCGCTGCGACGCAGATAATTCTTTGCGATTACATTAATCGCTGAATGTTGAGTAACGAAAATAAAATGTATTTCAGGAGCTCGGTGATGTACAAGGGTGCTATATTGAATATTCAAAAGAATTCCCAGAAAGCATCTTCGTGTCCTGACATATATAACAATAACTCCACGTTAACAGTTGCTAGTGAACCCGATTCCGTAAGTATATTATTTTTTTTTAACGGTTTGTGTGCCGCATCCATCTTCTTTTAGACCAGGACGACCGCAGGGTGTATTACGTTGGAGATTGTATGAGCAACGAAAATATACCACATATACATACATTTTTACAGATGTTCTCTCACAGGGATAGTTTTGTCAAAGTAATTAATCAGTTATCGAGTAAACGCGTGAATACGGTACGTCGAGTTAGGCGGAAAAGGTCATATTTTCATCCGAAAACGTTGAAAAAGGTAAGATAGGATACAGTTTCGGCTTATCGGGGAAAAGTTTTTAATAAGTGCATTTAGCATGAATAATGATTACACTCGTCTTGAATATATCCAAAAGCATTTTTTGAAAATATAAAAGGAAATAAATAAACATCTACCAACACTATCAAAGTACGTTTCAATAACTATATTTTTATCACTTCATATTAAATACACTACTGTCAGAAATACGATTTATCATATGCTACCAATAAACTGTATATTAAGAAATTATATGGTTTCACTTTTCAAGATTTTATTATCAACCAAACCATTTATCTCCTCGTGAAAATGCCAATTTTTTCTTTACAAACACCATTTTTCGAAGTCTTTCTTATTTCATTAACGATATTACGCATATTTCTAATTTGCTTTGTAGACTAAACTCTTTTCTCCTTCGATGTCTTTTAACACGTTTAACATACACCATGGGATACGATAAAATTATAAATATTCATGCGTACACTGATATGTTTAAAAATGGAAATCCTGAAAGGAATAATTATAACCATTGATACACGCCATTGCAATGCATATGCTTGGATGGATATCCATTTAACAACGATTCTCGGAGTCGTAATAATAAAACATAATAATGTCCTACGAACGGAGGACTTGCATGTTTGACTGCAATGGATGGACATACATTGTAATGTCATTCGCTGAACGTACACAATACTAATGCTGTGCTTGATAACAATTTTTAACAAGATTTTACGGTTAAAAAATAATCGTTCGCGTTTTAATACAAAATGAAATATCGTTTTCACGACACATGGAGTTATGTATATAGATTATATTATAAATGTTTCGGCGTTTTAATTAAAACGAAATTTACTGCAGAAATCCTCGTCGGGTTTTATACACAGTTCGTAATATTATACGGGCGCTCGTATGCGATTATTTTTCATATTTTAATATCTCACGGGGAAAATGTAACTGCGCGCAGCCATCATTCGCAGCGTTTGTGTAAACGACGCTCGCAATTACGAAAATCGATACGGATACACGACTGCGTGAATTTTACATTTGCGCACGCACGCGCACAATCATACGTACATACATCCATCGCGATTTCTCTCGGAACGAATCAAAAAGCGAAAATTATAATAGTTGTGCGGCGATTAGACTTTTGAAATGTGTATACTGGTGAACAAATGCACTTTTTGAACCGCAAGTTATGTTTTAACTTGCGGACGAGACGAAATAGGTATAACGCGTGGATAACGGCCGGACGTGACGTGTGTACCAATATTATATAGGACGTCGCAGCTATGGCTAGAACTCGTTTTTGTGCGCGCACGCACACACACACACACACACACACACACACACACACACACACATACGCGCGCATCAGTGCGACCAGGGATCCCGGATATCCTTTCGCATGTGCGTTGAAACGCGGCGAGAGTTTTCCACAGACACGTATTGGTCGCCTCATTTGAACCGAGGAAGGTATTTGAAATCCAATAGTATGGTAATTCTTCTTGAAATCGGCAAGACCGAATAACGCTTGTTCGGTGGTCGTGCTCTACTAGGATTTTCATAATATTATATTTAATAAGTTTTTCGGAATGTACTGGGTTTATTGTACTTTTATTAGATTAAAATTTCCAGGCGGCGTTTGCGGTTTGCTTAAAAAATATGCGTAATAAACGAATAATAGATATTAATTTACTGAAACGTTTATACGACGTATATCTTCGACAAGAATTCGATTATTACACAATACATGTTATGAACGACTGACCGATTTGGATAAAACGCAAATTTTTTACCAAATTCATAGGGCCGACAAAAATGTATTAATCGAACAATTTCACTAGCCAATTTAATTGTGCGCCGAATCGAATACACTTGCAGTCTTTTTGTCAGACCAATAGAGGTCGAAAAACAAATTAACCAACGAATATTAAGTGTGACCTGTACAACATTATGTCATGATCGAAAATTCCAAAATGTTTACCACAAAATTTATTATTTTCTTATACAGCTAATTATTATATATCTCATACGGTTTCTATCGACGTAAAATGTGATTAACACATACTAACATGCTAATACATTAACTAAAATAAGATTGTAAAAAAATATTTCAGTTATAAAAAAGGTTGTCATCTACTATATCTGGTTATAATTTTAGTTATGCCATGTTAAAAATAAACAACAAAAATATGCTTTTACTGGAAATTTGAAAAACGTATTCACAAAAAAAAAAATACAATTTTCTGATTATTGTAACGTTTAAAAATATATTTCAAGGGTAGCAATGTATTTGTAGAGAAAATAATTCAAAAAAATCGTACTAATTAATATTATATCATATAATAGATTTATTTTTTTCTTATTTTATTCATTTTTTTAAAAAACCACGTATGTTGGTCAACAGAATTTTTCGACATTTTAATGTGTCAGCCATTTTATATTTGAGCCAAAATTCTGCCGACCAAATGGGTTTCGATCTTTTGTTTCACACCAGGTTTTCTGTACATCGTATTTTCAGTACTTTGTTATTGACTTTTCGAGTCGAAAGCACATATGTATACCACCAAATATATAACGCACGGGAGTGGTCGTGAGATGATGATTTCCCTGCCCTCAGCATTCGGTCGTGTTTGTGTATTGTTCACGTATAAGTTTACCAAAACCAAAGAAAAATCTAAAAAAGTTTTGATGCGTATTGATCGCTGATTACTACTCATACCACATTATCTCTCTTCGAACGCGAATAAATTGTTAACAATTTTGCTACATTGTAACCGCGTGGCACCCCGTCAGGAAACGTGAAAACGTGTAAAATATTACCTCACAAGAACATTCGACAACGGTAGTAACTGTTATTGTACACTTCTAAAGCCGATCGAATTGAATTGTAACGTTATCGTACATTTCATTCGGTCGGGTCCACCGAAACCCGGCGAAACGGAGTGTATGCTCCGCGTTAGATAAACGCTAGTGTCGGTCGTCGGAGGTCGTGATGAAACGGATTTCGAGGGACCACGACTTCATTTCCAACGTCCCGCAATGCCGAGGTCATTATTTCGTCCCTACCATCTACCCATTTCACGCGTTCGGCTAACGTCGATCGGTTTCGAGATTGAAACACGGTTACAGGTCTCCGCGCGACACAAGCGTACCGGTTGGACACGTGCCGATAAACGTGCAAGACACATCTGCGCGTAACGTCTGATACAGGTGCGTGTACGTGTTTAGCCGTGCGTGTTGGCATAGGCGACTTGACATTTCTCGGTTAGTGGTTCAAGCCCACCCACCTACCAAAGTGTCATATCAGGTACGGAAACTTACCCGATTTTACATCACCCACCGCTGCCGGATGCCAGGGCCGAGTGTCCACCTGTTGAAACGACACCCGGCCCCAAACTTTTCGGTAGTTGAGCGGACCACAACGTTCGCGATCTGAGCCGCCCCGGTGTGTTGGACAGAATTCGTTTTTCTCCGGACGACTCTTGGCCGTACGCGCACAGCAACGCGTCGTCAACGCGCGCGCGAAACGTGTTAAAATCACGGTGTGTGCGCGTGCGAGCGCGCGAACGTCCGCATTTTAGGGTCACCCACTGGAAGTGTTGGCCTTGTCGCGGACGTTTTATATAAAGATTAATGGTGCTACCGGCTGCGTTCGTTGCGAATCGTTTTTTGGCGACCCGCTCGCTGTTCGGAGTTACTCGCCGTTACCCGCGTAGCAAGCTAATTCGGACCCCGCGATTATGTGCCAATACAATATTTATAATTCCCGATCGGAATTCGGCCAAACGTCGGACGCGACGAAAGCCTCGTATCAGAGATAGATCGAGAGAAAATAATAATATAAACTAGTCGTCGGCCGTCGCACGAATATTTAACATTTTATCGTCGTCTGACATTGCGTTGGCCACTGATGCAGCCGGTAAACGCGATGAGTTCGGGTTATGACGGTATTTCGTACGCGCGTGACGGCACACGATTACGCGCTGGTAGAATGCAGGTTCCAAGCGGAGCTCGGTTTCCCAACACCGATGCTTACGCAATACCTTCGGGAGGGATGTCCGTAAGATCATGTTTTTATCGTCATCGCGGCTTTTGCGAGTAGAAAACCGAACTGAAGATTTGCGCGGTGCGCTTTTAAATTCGTGTACGAAAAATAAACGCAAGGCAGAGTTGAAATTAAACGGTTTCGCTTGTGGGGAACATCTGCACACCGACGCCGAACGCATAGGCTACGCATGAACTATTGAGCGACGGCAATATCTCCATAACATAACCCGTCACCGCATAATCGTGTTGGTTTGTCTTATGTAGAGGTGTGCGGCGGCCACAGCGACAACAGTTGCGCTATCAACCGTCGTCCTGATGTCCGGCGCGCGCTCGGCCTAGACGCGGCAACAACACAAATAATAATATGCAGTTTAATTACTGTCAACGCGATATGAATTAAAAATATGTCGTATTTCGTAGGTAGTCCTAATGGTCCCCGAGGCCAGAGAAGTCGTTAACGTCGATGTAATAAATAAATAAATCATGGACAAATCTACTTTAAACGTATGCGTACAGCGTTTTATGCGTTCGTCTCTAAATTATAATTTTTAACTTTTGTTATCTTCACCTTTGAAAACAGTTGCGTAACATTGTCGCTGACACCCTGATCGTAAATAAATAACTATACGTTAAAATGTATTATAAAACGTTCTACGTTTGTATTATGTTATTCGTGCTTTGGACTGACGAATTTATTTTTTTATTTTTTAACGTACTAAATTAATATTTCATACCTGTGATGATAGCCACAAATAACTCGTATGTGGCCAACCACTACGGTTTTTTTCTCTCTTATATTTGTACAACTGCATTTTCATTGTGATCCAATATCTTTGTTGGTTACAAAAAACTAAAACTGTAAAATAATTTTCATTTAAGTTTTTGAATATTTATATTATCTAATTAAAATCATTAAATATCTCGAAAAAAATTATTTTAAGTACATT